TCAGTTAGGAGAAACCTACCTTGAAAGTCGGTTAGAAGAAACCCACCTTGAACACGAGTGTCGCCGTGAGACACCTCGGCCAGCCGATCTGAGTCCATATCTCAACAAGCTGACCAGAGTCAGGTGAAGCTCTCCAGCCTTTCAAGTTCACTCGGGACCCTGACCAAGTCCCAGTGAGCCTCACCTGATATCACCGCCAAAGAGTGGACCGAGACAAGCAGCGACTCCTAACAGAAAAAGTGCCCTCAAATCCAAAGAAGCAGAGGGTTGTCCGATCGATCCCTTCCACCGACGAAACCAGCGTCATGAACAGAGCGTCTCAGAGAGAGAGGCCTCGAACGGGGAAGTCCAAACCACTCACATCCATGCACTCCAACTTGCCCATGCATTCCAACTTGTGAACTCCAAGCCAAAAAACATGCTGCTGATGATAAGGAATGGAGATCGTCCATCTCAGAGCTTGAGGGCTGAGACCAGAGGTCTTGACAGCAAATCGGACTCTTTTCTTGTCACAGTAACCCACGGCTGACTGACATTGAAAGAATCACCCTTCTATCATCCGGCAGACCACCATTGAAGAATCAGCTCTCGGCAGATCCGACGTGAAGCATCAGATCCCGGCCGCCCAACAGTGAACAATCAGAGACCATCGTCGACCAATAGCTTCCATCCTTCACCCAAAGTACAGCCAAGACAAACCTGACCCTACAAAAGTAGGGAAAAAAAGACAGGTATGCACGACGGGCATCCCAGGAGGGTGGTTTCGTGCAGGATCTTGCAAAGCCCAGGAAAATCTCCCAAGACCTTCTCTCCTTCCAGAAGAAAACACGCCCGATATCGAACAAACCAATGGAGCTCTGACCAAGTCCAATGGATCTCGAACTTCCACGAATCCATCGCAATGGGGCAACTGGAATGAATCAGGAACCCTGTGGCAGTGAAACGCGATGGCTTCCTGTGCCAGTGACGGAACCATGGGTTTTGGACCAGGGAATCGGTAGAACAAGCAGTCCAACCACCAAACGATGATGAAGAAAGGCTGGAACAGATGGTCCACCCAAAAAAACCCAAGGTGATGTGGACGCCCCTCGAAAGGTGGAATGGACTTGCTTGGGTCTGCACGCCTTTGGCGATGGAAAAGGGACTTGCTGGGGTCTGTATGGAATGGCTATGGAAAGGTCTTGCTCGTTGTGGAGGAGAAGGGAGTTCTGGGACCACAGTGTTCCCCCAAACACAACGCGTTCGACTCGTCTCTCTCTGTGTGGGTGTGACCGAACCACTTCCATTTCTTCCCTCAGGGCAAGCTATGGAAACAAGGGCGAGAGCGCACAAACAGACGACTTGCCCAGGCAACCATCCAAGAAGTACTCCACAGAAGCCGATGTTTCGCACATCGTTCGTCACGTGCTCGAGGACTCATCAGGGGATGGATCCAGACGGCCTGGAGAATGGAGGCTCTCCCCAAAAAAAGTCACCAAAGAAGCCAATCAACAGGATGTGTCTTGGTGAGGAAAGCACCGACGACCCTCACACAGTCAGGCAACAGCACCGTCGACTCCACACAGTCAGGCAACAGCACCACAGGCCAAAGACAGAGGGGGCCTCCAAGGTCGACCGCGATGGGGTAGCCGGCAACTCACTGAGGCAGAGTGTCAGTGCCCAGTCCACTTGGTCAGGCTGTGAGGTCGAGTTGGGGACCTGTCACTGTTTGCCCTGCGACGTCCATCTGGTTCACACACGCGTCCCATTTTTCACACACGCATTCCCGGAGGGTCATCGCCGACGACAGAGACTCTATCCTCTGTGGTGGTGCTCCACCGCGAGGTCTGTCAGACGAAACCACTTCTCTAGGCACCATGGCAACCGCAATGGCAAGCCAACTCCAGCCCTTCAACACCTCGAACCTGGACGACTTCTGCTCGGCGAACAACTTCAGAAGGGCAACAAGGGTGTGGTCCCACAGGGAGAACTGCAAGGATTTCTTGGCGCCCATGGCTTTTCTCCAACAGCCTCGTCAAAATGATCCCAAGGGATGACTCCAAGCTATCCAACAGCATTCTTCCAAGGCCTTGGATTTCATCGTCGTCCGTGGTTTCAGGTGGCCCTGTTACCAGATCCAAGTGAACACTCCAGTGGATGTCTGGAGTAACCATGCTTGTCAGGTGGCTCTGTTCTTTCCCAGCATCAACACTGCTTGCTCAAGTAGGTCGGTGCGTTCTTGCCCGGCGTCAGAACTGCTTGCTCAGGTAGGTGGGTCTGTCAACACTCGTTCTTCCCCGGCCTCAGGAAATGCACCCCTCGGCAACCAAGGGAGCACCAACAGGCGGCGTCCTGTCCAAGGTCGGCCAGGAAGGTCTGTCTCGGTGGTCTTGCTGTCACTGGATTCTGGGCAAGGAATGCACCCTAACTCCCTCGAGTAGGTCCGAGTCCGAGCTGTTGGACCTTCATGGTCCCAGAGGGCCACGTCCAACGTTCCAGGAAACCGCGGAGGGCTGAAAAAAAGCAAAGACAAAGGCAAACGGTCCAAACAGAGGAGATGACTTTTCTCCCATCGCCAAAGACCTCCAGATCACCAAGCTAGGAGACGATCAAGAAAGGAGACCCTAACCCTAACCCAAGTGGCGCAAAACGAAAGAGTGGTTGTCTAGCACGAAGAAAATAGTGGAAGAGGACAGCCAAGAAAGTTCAAGAGCGAAAACCTGCTCCTCCTAGGAGAAAGAACCGGCCAGAATACAAAAATACCAAAAAAACAGAGACAGCTTCTAAAACAGGTGCCAACCAGAAAACCTGCCCGTAAGGGAAAAGGGGGTAGGGGGCAACGTGGACTCCACCTGCTGCCAGGTATCACAGCCCTACTGGAAGACGACCCAAATTCAGCAAAGCGAGACGGAGGGAAAAAAAATGAGGTGTCGGATCCTGTGGAGCACAAGGTCTCCATCACACAAGACATCCTCATCGAGTCGAGAAAGAACGGAGAGGGACTGACTTGTCCCGGTTTGTCTTCGACCAAACCGGGGGTGGGCTCAGGTTCACATCACGGCCCAAGTCGGTTTTCCCCGTGGGTGAACAAAAAAAAAAAACCATCGTTTACCTGCCATGGCCTGGCGTCGCGGCGTGGTGACGATCGTGGTGGTGGTCGTGGTGGCCCCTAAGTGGAACGAACAAAGGAAGAATGAGCTAGGGGTGACAGGGGCGAGGGAAACATTCAAACCAATGGGTTCCACTTACCCGTTCGTCGTGGTCGTCGGGAGGACCAGCGGAAGACGGTGGTGGCGGTGGTGGATCCATGCTCTGTAAGTAAACCCCATGGTAAGAATGAGCGTGAGGGGGACACAGGGGGAAGGGGACATTCAAACCATGGACTCCACTTACCTGACAAACGCCAACACAAGCGTCGAAAATGGGCCAGACCCAACGCTTGTCGACAGTGAGGGCACGTGGGGGTCGGACGGGACGGAGTGATGGCCAAGGCCGCGTACAAACAGGTTTTATGGACCAGCACGTGGCAACAGGGGGTACGGATGACGGCTCGGACCAGTTCCCTCGCGCACAGAAGACAAGACTCCACAGTAAAAGGCCACACCATATCATGTAAGACTGCATGAAGATTGCGTTTGGAGTCGATGGGTGGACCGAGGTCCTTTTATGGTGTGGGAAGAGGGGTCTCATGAATGGGACCCCCCTCTAACCACCCCCAAAAAGAGGGGGGATACCCCCCCATCCCCCCTCTGTGGAGGGTGGGTCGAGAGAGCCCGGGACCGAGGTCCTAGGTGGGTATATAGCGAGCCGGGGAAAGCCCGCTGCATTTTCACTGCCAAGGCTCACTGTCTCATTGGGTCCCTTGGTTGTTCATGTTTGGTTCCTGTTCTGACACCGGCTAACTCCTCATGGCGTCGTGCTTGAAGATTGTGGGCAACGAGGCGAGATGTTATTGTTCCGTGCACCAAGGCGCGGACGTGGCACGAGGTACGTTAGAACGCGTGGTGCACCCTTACCCTCTACGTCACGCACACACCTGGCCGCGAGCGCCTTGTCATTGCATTTGGTTATTATGCAGAGTGTTTGTACTGGTACAGTCGCAACGGACCAACGTGCATTCGTTTTTGACCCAGCGAGAACGTGGAGGGCCTCACCCCGTGTTAGACTCGGCCGAGTGTTACCACCACAGCGGGTGGGTGTGCGATTGCCATTATTATGGGGTGGGCAAATCGGCACCGCCCGACTCGGACTGAACTTTTTTGTTTTTTACAGATGGCGTTCGCATCGAGAGCGAATCCCAGGCACAATGCGAGTGGATGTATCGGATGTTTTCCCACCATTGCTTGCCGTCCCCTGCCTCGTGGTGTTTTACCCTGTTGAGCAAGGAATTGCCGGCGCTGCTCCGATGTATGACCACGGGCAATTCCGATCGAGTGAGCAAGAGACTGTTGGGCATCTTCACGTACCTCACGAAATGGGACCCCCAGACCCAGACCCTGCCGCCCCCGGAACCCATCGAATTACGGGCGATGATTTGCTGTGGCCTCACCAAGGAGATGTTGCCTTTACCGACCGCCGTGAAGATCCACCCTGCCTTCGATTTCTTGAAGATCTTATTAGCTGAAGCCGAGATCGTGCCCGACGACGCGCTTTGTGAACGACCCGTGTTTAAAGTGTACGGACGGTGTGACGAATGCCAAGCCCTGTTGCGTGAATGCCCCACCCAGAAAGATGTGGGGTTGGCCCCCACCGAGGTCATGTACGTGATGATGCCCGCCGAATGGTCGGAACCCGTGGACTGGACCGACTGTCATGAGGGAAGCTCCCAAGGAGCCAAGGACGGGAACTAGGGACAAGTGTGATGTGTTGTAAAAAACAATGTTCAAGTAGGACGCCATGAACCCCCCCAAAAAAATACTGAGATGTAAACCGTACACTGACAAAAAACACCTTTATTTTTTTTGGTCACTAGAACTCTACTTTAGATCAACCACATGTAAGTCTTTGCCTCAATAAACACGTTACAGTTTCAATTTGCGTTTGGCTTGCATGATTTTTTTGACGAAGGCTTCGGTCCAAGTCTTTTTTCCCGGGAGGTTCGTGATGGCCCGAATCATCTTGTCGTCGGCGTTCCACTTGTCCTGGAGATTGCGCGCGCGAGAATAATCAATGTCGTGTTGTTTGGAAATGCGATCCAATCGGTTGATGCCGGGATCCCCGCGCTTCAGGCGTTTCTCCAAATGGGTGCCTGGGCCCATGTATTGGTACCCGGGCCAATGAAATTCGATGCCGGTCTTGCCCAACCATTTTTGCACGTCCAAGCCTCGACCGACCATGCGGCGGCGGCGGCCACGGCGCGACGTGCGGCGTCGGCGGCGTCTAGTAGTCCTTGCCATGCAGTTTCCGCTGCACCTTTTCTCCCCACTCACTCCAGCCGGGTTGTCGTTTCAACTTCAATACTTCCTTGGCCAGTTTCTTGCCCTCTTTGGCCGCCTGTCCAAATCGACTGGGTTTCTTGACGGTCAAGGGGGGTCTCGAGACCGAGAGAGGCGACTTGCCTTTGCTCAACGTGGCACTCCCTTTGCTCTTGGACGTACTGGGAATGGGCTCCGCCAATTCCTCTTCCCAATCGTCGTCCGGTAACGGCACCGAAATGGGTGTCTTGGGCGTTTTGGTCGAGAACTTCGGCTTGGGTGGGACTTTCGGCTTGCCTTTGGGTGTGGCCTTGGGTGGGGGCGTGCTGCTTTTTATAAGTGTTTTCAAGAAGGTCTCCATGGGCCCTTGGGCAAACTCGTCGCCGTCGTCGTCGGCCCCCGCTGCCGCCCCTCCGGCCCCTGGCAACGACATGGTTCGCACGCGTCTGGTGGCTCGACGTACCGCGGGTCCCAGGGCTTTGACGCGGATCTTCTTGGTGGCCGGCGGGATGTTGGGGGAGGCCAGCAAGACGTGTTGTTTGGCCGCCAACCGCGCGGCATGGTTCAACCGCGAATTCTCCATCAACGCGCCTTTGTAATGGTCCACCAACCGCTCCATGTCCGCCGGGGACACCACGTACTTTTTCTGGTACGGTCCATGACTCATCTTGACAGGCAACGACACACGCGATCCAAAGCGTGCCACATGCCCGCCCCGGTTTGAGTCATCATGACCTGCCGTCGCCGTTTTATGGAATGCTTGCGACGCGCCATGTCGCGCAAGGCTTGCTTGTGCGGACGCAACTGATCCAAGAGTCGAGGCGAGACGGTCACATTCCCTTTCAAGGTGTTCATCACCAATTCACTGATGGCATTGACTTGATCGGCATTGGCGTGCTGCAATCGTTCCCGTCTCACCTGCTGGTCGGCTTCGCGCAACACGCTCCGCAAAAACAGCAGTTGTCGTTGTAAGCGTCGCACCATGGTGTCGTGTTCCCTGGGACACGTTCGAGGGAGTCTTTATAGAGTTACTGCACGACTAACCCTGGCCATCGACGGCGCATGTTGGCGACCACGCGCCGGTTGGCCGCCCGCTGCGCGGGGGTCAGTTGACGTCTCTTGCGCGTGACGGCCCCCAAGGCTTTCTTGACCCCCCAGCCGGCCGCGCCACTCAACGCCCCGGTCGCAATGGCCTTGGCCCCCACTTTGACGAGAGGCATGAGAAGGGAGAGCACCCCTTCGCCTCGTTGCCAGCGTCGTCGTCGTCGTCTCCGTCCGCGTCGGACCATGTTGCCAATGGCACGGGCTCGGGCACGACCTCTGTTTTATACTTCACAGGCCAAGGATCTTGGCCCCGACCACGGCGAGAGGCCCGAGAAAGGAAAGCAGCCCTTCTCCTCGTTGGTAGCGGCGACGGCGTTTGCGTCGATAGCTGACTCGTCGTCGGCGTCGTCGAACCATGGTGTCGTGTGATAGAGCGTCCCCCTCCTGGTCCCCCTTTTATAGCGTCACATAATGGGACAGTTGAACGATTCCCCCGCGTACTTTTTGCGCTTGCCACTCGCCACCTCGGCTCGTCGTTTTTGACTGATCTTCTCGGCGTTTTTCGGTTGACGCTCCCCCATGGCTTGGGTGGTCTTATGCGCCGTCTTGAAAATCCCCGTGATGAGGGCCGGCGACACGCCGCCTCGTTGCGATCGTCGTCGACGGGCGCGTCGTTTCCGTCGTGGCATCTGGACGTTTGGTCGTCCCAGGACGTCTCCGTGCTTTTTTTATACCGTGTTGGGCGTGGACAACCGCGAGGACGTGCGATAGACTTCGGGTTCTCCTCCATCCTTGTAGACGGTGGTGACGGTATTGGTATGCGTGATGCCAGCAATGCGGCGCCCCACGGACCGTTGACGGGCATCTTCGGCCAACAGGTCCATCTGGCGTCGCAATTCGTCTTGATTCATACGCGCTCGTCGTCGAGGGGGCGTGCCACGGCCACGCCCACGCCCACGGCCACGACGGCCCCCTCCACCGCCGCCGCCACCCCCAGGCGGGCCTCCATCGTCGTCGCCCCCGCCCCCTCCGGGAGGCACCCCGCCGCGTCCCCGGCCTCGACCTCGACCTCGGCCTCGCCCTCGCCCTCGCGGTGCCCGGGGTGGTGAAGGGGTCCGGGGAGTGGCGGGACGGTTCATGACATAGTCGCGTAATTGGTCCTTGGTGAGACCCGCGGCCCTCAACATCGCCTCGATTTGCCCGGGACGAAAATTCCCTCGGGCAATCCGTTCCATGACATCGCGTTGTGGGGTGGTGAGCGCGGGCGTCGGGGGGCGTGCGGGCGTCGGGGGGCGTGCGGGCGTCGGGGGGCGTGCGGCCATGTAATCGGCCAATTGGTTGTTGTCGAGTCCCACCGAGTCCAACAGGGCATCGATTTGATCTTCGGGTACCTCGTTTCGAAGAATCTGTTCCATGACCCCAATTTGTCGGGGACTAAACGTGGGTGACGGCAAGTCCCGGGCCGCGGTCCGGATGGTCTCCGCACTGGGCAGGTCTGCCCTGGGGGGCACCAGATTGGGCGCGACGCCTACCCCGGCCGGCGGGGCTGTGGGAATCCCCGAGAGGTCCATGGCCCGTGCCAAGGCATCCCGTACCCCCGTCGGCGTGACGAGGGGGGACCGTCCCACACCTACCGCCAAAGGCGTGGTGTGCCCTTCCAGACGTTCCGATAAGTCCCGTTGCCGGCCTCCTTGGCGTCTCCGCGCTTGTCGTGCCTGTTCTCGCGCCAGTTCATTCTCCCAAGTCAAGACGTCGAAATCCAGATCGTCCCGAAACTCGTCGGACGAAGGGGTGGTCCGTCGACTCATGCTTGGCGTTCATAGGTCTCCGTCGGTCCTTCCTCCGGTAACACGTTGGTGAAGAGACGGTACCGATCGTCTGACGCGGGATGTAAGTCCAGCATTAAATAGCCAAAGGGGCGTTGCGTGCATTCGCGAAAGATGTTCATCACGTGCGACCAGTCGTTGGGAAAAGCTTGCAGGGTCAACGTGCGCATGCCCACTTGATCCCGCGGGTTCTTGAACGCCACGATGTAATGGGCATTGCGCGAAATGGTCTTGGCGAATTTCCCGGGCGGGAAGAGATCCTGGCATAAGAACAGGACGCTAATGTTCCGATGATGCGAGTGCTTGGAAAAGAGATCCAACACGCGTTTGTCGTTGGCGCCTTCGTCCATGAGATCGTCCAAGACCAAGAGTCCCCCTTGCGTGGGACCGAACCATTGGTCCAAGTCCTCCGAGGTGGGCAATCCTTCGTGAAACTGCACCTTCTCTTGTGTCATCTCGTCAAAGGCCGGTTGCCAGGCCCCGTAACAATAATGTTTGACCCGAGGCGGCGGGTGCATCAGTTCGTCGGCATGGCGTAACAACCCGCGCGTCCACGTCGATTTCCCACACCCCGACGGGCCGCCCACCAGTGTGTTGCAGGGATGACGAATCATGATGTCACCATGGCGTACAATCGCGGCGAGGCCTCTTTTATCAGGGTCCGCATGGACTCGACCACGGCGGTTTCCGGGCACGCGTCCAAGGCCCGGGCCAACCCCACCCAATCGCTGGCCCACACCAATCGACGAAAGGTGCGATAGTGGCCATAATCCCAGGTGTGGCACAACGCGTCCACCGGGTTCAGCAACAGTTCCATCCACAGACGTTCGTCCAAGGCTTCCAGGACACGTTGCTTATCTTGGCGCGTGATCATTCTCAAAAAAAATCACGTCGCCGCGAGCGCACCGGTGTTTTATGGAGCGCCCGCGACGACGTGGCGTGGACCCTATCGGACTCGAACCGATGCCCCGCGGCTTGCAAAGCCGCCGCTCTACCCCCTGAGCTAAGAGCCCCTTGATTGAGTACGGGGCACCCCCGCGGCCAGACTCGGTCAACTCAGTCCCAGGGTAGTACTATTTTGTAGAGAACACCGGACGTACCCACCACCGGTCGGGAGAGAACCCTTGGGGAATCGGACCGACCGCTCGCGCGGAAGTCCCCCGCACCCATGCCCTTCCTGTCCCCAATCCCGTTGATATACCCGTCCCTAGTCGTCGTCTTTCCCTTGTGGGACCCACGAAAAAAACACACCTCGAACAAGGGTTAAGACTCGTTTAATGAAGACCATACACAACGTCGAGAGAGACAGCGTTGGGTGTCCGGTCCATCGGGTTCGTCCATGGCCGCTTCGTCCAGGGTGGTCTGGATCCAAGCCCGGACGCGTTCCCCCACGCGATGATCGTTCCACACGTAATCGCCGTCTCGAAAACTTTCCACATACTCCAGCAGGGTCCGTCCACGCACGCGGTCTTGCAGGTAGGTAAAGGCATAATGGCCACACGTCAGACTGTCGTAGGCCTGCAGGGTCCTGTCGCTACGCACCACGACCTTCCAATGCTGGGCGATCCATTCGTGCAAGCCCGGGGCGTCGTAAAAGGTCAACGGCAACCCGTAACTATCCATCACGTCGCACACCCCCTGGTCCGTCCAGAGCGCCAACCAATGCTGGCCCGGGTCGCCGGCCGGGTCCGTGTTGACGATGTAGGCGCCTCGGGTGGTCTTGGGCGGGTGCGCGGGCAATCGATCGGAGGGATAGACGCCTTGGAACACGCGCTTCAACTCGGGGTCGGAAAGCGCCAAGGCTCTCAATTGACGATCACTCAACGCCACCAGTTCCATGGTCCAACTACACCCTGCGATCCTTTACGCTTTGTTATCATACGTCACGGCCCCCAGGTGATCGATGTAGATGACGCTTTCAAATTCGCCCCACACCAAGATGGTCATGTTGGTGTTCAGGGCCGCTCGGAACTTGATTTCCAGTCGTACGTTGCCGGTCTGCTTGGGATTGAGTTTGAGGCTATCGGCGTTCCCACTAGGCACGTTGTTCCACATGTACAGGGTACAATTCTTGTTGTGTCCCCACTCGTCCGGTTTGACCATAAACTCGCGATGTTTGGTCACGGACCCGGCCGCGTCCAAGAAGCGACGATAGCCTTCCCAATCTTTCAGGGTATTATTGCCGGCGAATTCCAGGGTGACGTACGGGTACTCTTCTCCCTCGATAAACTGTCGAATGGACGTCACCCCTTTGCTCTGGAAGGCAAACGGGTACTTTTCTTTGGTCCCATTGAACGCCGTGCTGTCCAAGATCCCCACGATCATGCGCTGGGGGACCCTCCCCAGAAAAAGATTATCTTCCATCCACACGGTGGTGGCCCCGTTGAAGGAGAACGTGCGAATCTGATCACTCACCACCGGGTACTTGACCACCGCCTCTTTGAGCTTGCGTTCCCGTTCCAGGGACCCGTAGACATCCGGGTTGAGATTCAATCGGCACAAATGCAAGGTGATGTCCACATCTTCTTCTCGCAACCGAACGTAGTTCTTGACGCCGGTGCCACTGGTCAGGGTCGCAAAGGTGTAGAAATCGGGACTGTTGAAGTGGAACTCAAAATTCATTTCCACCCCGGGTACCATGATCTTGCCCGTGTGGAACATGGGCAGGTACGGCCGCATGATCATCCGGACCACGGCATTGCCCCGGAAAGGGGTCGTCAAGGTCTTGAGCAGGTTATCGTTATTGTGAGCCCAGCCCGCCGTGGTACTGATGTCATCGTCGCCACCCGCGGCGGCCAACGTCGGGGTCACGTTCATAAAATTGACCCATCCTTGAGGGGCCAGCAACGTCTCTCCATCGTCGCGGTTGTAGTTGAGCAGGGTCTGGAGATAGGCCGAGTAGGGATAGGTGTCGGTCTGTTCGGTCATCAGGGTGCCATTGAACCGCACGTTGATCTGCTTGAAGATGGTGTGGGCCAGGTTGTTGACGGCGTACGTGAACTTGGTGTTGTTGGCATTCGACGCCGAATTGGCATCGGCCACGATGCCGTTCTGACCCGCCGTGGACAAACGCAAGTCGACGACAAAATAACTGCGATTCAAATCCACGTAATCTTCCAAGGCCTGCACCGAGAACTTCATCGGGGTGATGCTAGCGCTCAATTTGTGGTAGGGCACCATTTTGTAGCCCTGCAATTGATAGTCGGTCGAGGGGACCGAGAAAAGGTCGAGACTGCTCATGATGCCCGAAGACGACGAGTGCGTCTCCTCCTCAGCGGCGTCGCCGTTTTATACGTCTCATAAAGGGCGTCTCATATTGCCTGGGGAACTCCTCGATGATGCGGGAATAGACCCCTCCGCGCTGAGCGCGACGTTGTCGGGCCGACAACCATTGGGCCAGGTCGTACCCTGGTGGCTTGGGCACGTCGGCACTGATCCATCCTCCGCGCTGACCTCGACGTTGTCGGGCCAACAACCATTTGGTCAAGTCGTACCCTGGCGGCTTGGACACGCTCGCACTAATCCATCCTCCTCGTTGTCGCCCAAACGGCGACGGCACGCTCCGTTGATAGCGAGGCCGGGATTGCACCACCAACCGTCGTGGACGCGTCATCTCTTACACGCCCAGCACGTCGCGAATGCGTCCGACCGTGTTCCGAACCCCTTTCTTCGCCGATCTCTTGGCAGCGATGGCCGCAATGGGGAGAGCCTTGCGTTTCAACCCTCTTTTTATCTCTTGGCCGGCCGCCCGTGCCACCTTCTCCCACGACTGCCCTTGGGCGCCCGCCCGTGCCCCGGCTCGGATGGCCGTGGCCAGAATCGGGCCGCCCCAACGAAAGAGATCCTCTCGAAGTCCTCGTCCATCCTGCGGTGGCAGGGGTGGTGGCTGGTACCGCGTCAGACTGCCTCCCCACATGATGTGATACGTTTCCCCAAGGCACGCCCCTTTTTTATACGTCTCGTTGGAACACAAAGGTGATCAGGGTGCGTCCCGTGCCGAACTGGACCAACCCTCCGTCACTCTCGGCGATTTCCACCTCCACCAGGTCCATGTACTCGCGCCGACACGGTAACCATTGAATGTGCAAGGGCTCAAAGTAAGCCACCCCCTGGCCTTGGCGCCGGTACTCCACTTCGCGCACCAGCGCATGCAATTGACCCCCGACGATATTGCTGTCCACCAAATCCGAGTAGACCAGAAAGGTGCGCGAGGGGTCCCCCACCACCGATCGGAAGGCCACGTTCAAGTTGGTGAAGCGCCAATTGAGGCACTGACTCAACTGCAAGAGACCCCCTTCTATTTTCCACAGATCGTGGTTGTCCAGTTCCGTGTTCTTGACGTCTTTGTAATAATTCCCCCTCTGCTGCGTCTTGTAGGGGAGTTCGTAATGGAGATTGGGTCCCAAGGCGTACGTGTCCTTTTTCGTCTCCACCAACCACCCCATCAATGTGGCCATGCTCACGTGCACGTGCCATTCCACGAACGCCATGCCGGTCGTCAACTGGATGTCGTTCAAGTCCTTGGCCAGCATGCGCAGGTCCTCGCCGTCCCATTCGTACGTGACCCGAAACCGGTCGTAGAGCCGTTTACTCTTGGCTTGCGCTTCTTTCATCTCGTAAAACTGCGATTTTCGTATGATGACTTTCATCAGACTCACCCCATCCACCACGCCGGGATCGTGCAAGATATCCTTGATCTGCATGGTGGTCTGGTGGTGGATCGGGGCCACGTCCGCCACACTGTCCACCAACTTGCAGCCCACCTTGAGCACGCGTGGGTTGACGGCCGTCGTGAGTCTCGAAAACTCCAAGGCCGCGTCCGGGGTGGAGATGACCGCCAGCCCCACCTTCCATCCTCCCCCACTCAAGGCCAACGGCACGGGCAGGCGCACTTTGAACGCACTGGGGGTGTTGCTGGGAAACTCTTTGGTCGGATCGCTGACCAACACGATGCGATTCATGCCTTGAAATGCAACGTCACTTGCGTCTCTCCTGCCGGGTTCAAGGTCATCAACTGGCCGTTCGTCTCGGCCACTTCCACTTCCAGAATCTCCAGCGTGTCTCCACGCACCCGGTGATACTGCACGTGTTCCGGTTCCCACCGGATGGGTTGGTCTTTATAGGGCAGGTCTCGCAAGAAGTTCGTGATCTGCGTGCCCACGATGCTGCTTTCCCCCACGTTACAATAGAGATGCACCGGACGCGTGGCCGGCTCCCCGTGCGTCGCGGGCGTCACCGTGGTCTTTTTCTGTTTGTCTTGACTCCCCGTATGCGTGGGCGTGGTGGTCGTTTCGGTGGTACTGCTGGTGGAGGTGGTGGTGGTGTCTCGTCGAATGACCGGATGCGCGTCGTACACGTCGTCGACTTGACTCAGGGGTGGCCACGGCGCCCCGATGGTGTACCCGTAGACCACCACGTAACATTGATCCGTCAACGTGGCCGGGTACGATTTGGGCACGTCGGCGATGGTCACCGTGACGTGCAGCCGGGACGAATGGTCCGACTGGGGCGTCAACCGGAAATCTTGCACGAGCCGATGGTAATACACCATGTGCGTGCCCAGGTATTCGTGCACGTGCGTCGTCACCGCTGAATCGATATTGCGCGTGTAGAAACTCGTGTAGGCACTCACGCGCGTCTTGTCGAACAAGACCTTGTCGGTCGTGTAGATCTCGACGATGATTCGATACGTGAGCCCCTGGCTCAACCGGGTCGTGCCGATGGTCCAACGAAACTTGGGTTCGTACTTGTTGCCGCTTTTCGTCAACGTCATGCCCATGGTCTTTTTCTTCCAATAATGGGGGGACCCTTCCAGATTGACCCACCCCAAGGACTTAATCCCCGCCTCTTTCGTCCACACGCTCTCGTCCTCCATGATCCATCGGAAATGATTCCACAGGACCTGGGGAGGGACGTACACGTGCGTGGTGGCCCGCGCATAGGCTTCGTCCAAATTCACAAACTGCCAATCCATTGCCATGGACAGATACATCATCCCCCCGTTCACGTGCACGTAGTTGGAAAACGTGAACAATTGATTCCTATCCGCGTCGGCCGCGAACTTCGGGGACTTGGCCTTGTTCACGTGCGGGTACATCAACAAATTGGGTCCCAGGATATACGACCTGTCCTCTTTTCTCACCAACCACCCCATTTGTTGAGCCATCACCCGATTGAACCCCAAGTAAGGGCGCGGTTTGTTGTAGGACAAGTTGAGTTTCTCATTCAAGATCCACAACGTCGGGACCCCCGCCTCGTCCTTCCATTCGAACTGAAGATCATAATTCACGTCGGCCGACCCAAACACATATCCCGTATAGAGTTTCGTCCACTTGTCTTGTTCCATCCAACGGACCACTTTTTTCATAAACACCACCCCCGTGGCGGCTTCGGGCATGTTGGCATCCTCCATGGTCACGGTGATGTCTTGCGTCGCGGTCGAATCGCCGTCCTTCATGGCCCGGGCATACAAACGGGCCAATCGCTGGTTTTCCGAGCCCCTGAACAAATTGGACTGTCGATGTTCCGTGAGAGGCGCCACCGGCGCGGTGGGGGTGGACGTCACGGGATGCGACGTCACCCCATGCGACACCGTGTTGGGGGGTCCGGGTAAGTAGACCCCGGCCACACCCACGTGCCAGTTCTTGACGCGCAACGGGTACGGCAATCGCACCTTGAACGACGCCGGGGTATTGTGGGGAAACTCCGGCTTGCTGGTATTACTCAGCAGCGTGACGTACAGCGATCGACTCGACGGTTCCATCTCTCGTGTGGTCCTCTCGGGTCAGACCTCTTTTTTATAGGAACGTCGTCAATTTACGCTTGGACCCGGGTACCCGGGCCAGACTACGTTTCGGGATCCAACTGTCGTATTTGTTCGGCCAACCTTTCCAACGCACCTTGACCTCCTGGCGTCGACGCTGCAACACTTTCTCCACGCGAAACAGCGCGTCGTCCGGCACGTCGACCTTCTGCACGTCTTGCTCGTAAAAGGTGCCTTTGACGGGCGTGCCATCCCACTCCTTGATTTTATAGGTAGCCACGGGGCCCGGCACGGCCCGGTCGATGAGAAACACCTCTTCGGTCCACCCGGGCAGATAGCCTTTCTCGAACGGACGGTGCTGTTTCTGCAACCGCACGCGATCCCCGGCTTTCCATTTCGGACGTACGCGACGCGCCAGACGTTGGCCGTACAACCGTTGCCAGACCTGGCGTTGGTTCGTCCACGTCACGTCGCGAGGGGCCATGCCGATACTGCGGTGTTTGGTCACATTGTAGCCCTGCACCAACGCGGGTAACGCGTCCACGTACCGGTACGTGTTGCGAGCGGTAAAGTACCGGTACATGCGTTCTTTCAAGGTGCGATTGAATCGTTCCACCACCGACGCCTTGGTATCCCCGTAGGTCGAGAAATGATGAATCTTGCGACGCGTCATCAAAGCCTGAAACGTACGGTTGTAAAACTCTTTGCCGGCATCCGTCTGCAATCGCACGGGGTGACGTCCTCGGGCGCGTTTCAGGAGGCGTTCGAACGCCGCGGCCACCGCCACGCCCGTCTTGCTCTTCAACGGTTCCACCCACGCGTACTTGGACAAGACATCGATCACCGTCAACAAATAACGCATCCCCCGATTCCATTGTTTCAACGGTTGCATCTCCACCAGATCGGCTACCCATTGGTCGTCCATGCCATGCACCACCACCGGTAAGGTCGGGAACCGTCGTCGCCGTGGTTTGTGCAAGGTGTAACTCAACAACCCTTGCAATTTCGCCCGGGCACGCGACACCGGCACGCCGTGCGCTTGCGCCAAACGCGCGACACCCCCCAAACTCCCGCGCAACGAGGGCGTTTCGTAGGCGTCCGCCCAACTCACGCGGCGCTGCTGCTTCTTCCTCATATCGCACGCGCAATCACGACAAGACACCGTCGACTCTCTTTCTTATTTTTTTTTATTGGTTCAAACGATCCCGGCGTGGCTGCCACCAGGCAGGGTCCGAGGAGGCCCGGCGGATCTCGTTCAATCGCTCCAGTTCGTCGGCGGTAAACACGCTGCCGCGCCACACTTTGGGTTTCCCCTCCAACCAATGGTCGCGCAACTCTCTCAGGACCCGCGGACTCTCGGGATGATGCCCGTCTTCCCCTTCGTACCGAGCGTACGCCAACAGCAACACTTGACGACGGGCGTCCGGCGTGCTGGCCCCTTGATACTCCTCCCAAGCGCCGTGCATCCAGGGACGATACCTCAGTCCTTCGAAGAGGCCCGGGGAGGCCAGGGTGTTGTACCCATTGTCGCACATCATGAACCCTTTGGTCGTCGACCCGTCCACGCCCCGCATTCGGGCGGCCAAGCAGTCTCGTTTAGCCCTGGGGAGGTGGGGGCTGCTCCAGTCTTCGCCACGGACGCGACGACGCATCTTGCCCGATAACGGCAGGTTCAACCACAGGAAACAGCGACAACTTCCGTCGCGACAGGCCAGGTACATGCGCTGGGGGTTTTTCTCCGACCCGCTCTTGCGCAGCGATAACCGTCGATCGCAAAAACACGTCAGCTCGTCCCATCGTTGACGCAATTCCTCGTGCAACTGTTGGGTCACCAAGGTCATCCATTCGTCCACGCGGTCTTGGGGACTGAACACGGGACACGTGTCGCGCGGGCAGTACACATAGACAAACTCGTCCTTGCGTCCCTCGGACAAGGTCTCCTCAGGATGTAACGGGCACATCCATACCCCGGGTCGGTCCACGGGCGCGTACGGGACAGGCTCCGTCTGCGTGGCCTGATCCATCTCGTTCAAGAACCAGGCGGCCAACTCGCCTTCTTCCAACACCTCCGTCTTGTCTTCCAACGCCTCCTCCGCTCGACGTTTCTGGCCTTTGGCACGACCGGCCGGCACGGGCGCCGGACGCGTAGGGTGTCTCGTACAAGCGGCCATGATGAAACAAGGTCGCACGAGGCGCCCCGCGCCGTTTTATACGCCCGGTCGATCACGTGTCCTCATGACGTCCCCCATGCCTTATAAGGACCCAACTCCCCGTGAGTGGTCAGGTCAGGCTCCGCCCCCCACGTGCTCACCCCGTGCTCACTCCATAAAACCTCTCTGTCCTCGACTCCAGGCCAGTCATGCAAAAAGGCCCCATGTCACGACCAGCCAGGCGACGGAGACGAAAACGTCGTTCGCTCGGGACCATGCCCCAACTGCAGGACTACACGGTCTACACCCCCGACAACCAAATCGCCGACTTGGCCGACCGCCAGGGCATGACCGTTCACCTCATCGAGGGTCCGACCCAGCACGTGCTCCGCGACGCGCATACCGTCTACCTCTTTGGGTCGTACACCCCCTTACGGGACATGGATGAGACCGGCCGCGTGACCGAGCTCGCCTCGTCTTTGGGCAAAGCGTTGTTGCTGTGTGACGTCACCACCGGGCAATGGTATAAACGGGCCCCCAGCGACCAGACTTTCACTCCGCTCTCGGCCTCGACCTTTCCGGTGCTTCATCCACGCAGTGCCGTCTTGGGCCTCCGTTCCCTGCCGCTGCACCACCTGCAACTCACCTCGCTCTTCCAACGCACTCGAGACACGCTGTCCTCATGAATGCCGAGTACCATCGACGTCTACGCCTCGAGGACTATCGCACTTTGGACGAGTATCTCCGCGAACGCATCCGACGAGGGTTGCAAGCGCATCACGATCACACCGAGATGCTCCTTCACCTGCAAGATCAATACCGA